TTGTTGTAAACACTGGAGATTTAAACCTCTTTGTGACCCCTTTCACCGAAAATAAATATTAATAACCCCACTTCATAGACAGGGAAACAAACACAGGAAAGCTAAATGGCTTTTTATGGAAATGCCGAGGCAAAGGCAGGAGCTGCCAGAGCATGCACTGGAAACCATTCAGGGAGAGAATCAGTCAGGCCTTAAGGAGCAAGGGGGCAGAAAACAGGGTTGTGATTGCAATTACATCAGCTGGTGAGGAGCCAGCCCCTCAGTGCCCAGAGCTCAGTTAGCCAAAGGCTAAGGCAGTTTACTGACACTGGAGTTATTGCCAGAGCATCCAACTGATGATTGTTTTTAGTGGTAGATTTGTCTTCCCCCTCACTGGTCCATGCATGAGCTACAAGCAGCTTAATTAAAGGCTAAAAAAGCCCCTGATGCTAAAATAGCTGCCTTGCCATCTTTCTGGAGATGGTGCTAGACTCATAGCAGGGTACTTCCTTCTGCCTTCTCTTTTCTCTCACTTTTCTGTTCTGTTCTGTTTCTCTCTTCTCCTGTTCTCTCACTTTTTAAAAGTGAAATAAGAGAAGCAGGAAAAAGAAAATATGAAGAAAGTAGCCACAAACTGCTCCATCAACAATAAAATGCCACGGATCTTCCAGGGCCTGTCTGAGGATATGAGTCCCTGGAGAGAAAGCCCAAGGCCAGGGATGATAGAGGCTCAACCCTCATGAAAAGCACTCACAGACCCCAGAGCACAATGCAGCGCTGAGGATACGGACTTGGCTGCCGTTTATGGAGTGGGGAATACAGTGGCAGATTTATTCTACAGTAAAGAGGGCTGTTTCTTGGTAGCACTAATACTGACACATTCTCTGGGGACGGAAGAGGATGCACAAATAGGAACAATTCTCCCATTTCTCTCCCTGTGTCTCCCCCAAATGCCCCCTACTCCTATTTCCTCCTGTTCTCTTCATTTCTCTCCTTGCACTGAGTCCTCTCCTTCCTCTCTGATTTATACCTAATTTCTTTAACCTTGTCCTTCATCTTTTCTCAATGCAATTACATGGACAGGGTTTTTAGTTCTCCAAGATTTTGCATATTATTTTCAACTTGTGTCCAGCCCTCTCCCTGGAAAAGCATACAAGTGTTTTCATACAGAGGGTCAAGTCCTGCTCTCACTAAAACAAGAGAGAAAATTTTCACACTGTAACGACCAGCCATGGGACAGGATGGGCTGATAACCTGACAGAAGAGGCTTTTAAAATTAATCAACATAGTTTAAAGAGAAATGTCCTAACAAATCATCACTGCTCATCACTGAAGTGGAAACCAGTGATGGTAACTACCACCACACACCTGCACAGAGTAACTCCAGCTCCCTTCTCATCAGCTGAAATCAATACAGAGCAAAGAGTATTCAATACCAGGCAGTTTTACATCCCTATATGCCCCCTCCTTGTTCCAAAAACACACACCCACTTTCACTATCATATTTGCCTTTTTTATCTCACAGTGGAACAGGAACTGGGAGAACAAACAAATTGGTCAAGAGCACATAAGAGATCTGTGGCAAAGAAAGAAATACGAGCGCCCCAAATTGCTGCCAAACGGTCTCTGATTCAGGCTTTGCATCTCTAAGGGATGGATAGGGGCAGTGGATCTTGTCCAAGAACTGATAAGACAGGAGATAGCTCTATCACCCACATCTCTGCTGTTTGGCAGCAGTAGAGAAGCAGTGGAGGAGCAGGGCTGCTGTCTTTCCCCCTCCTTAATCTGCTTCCTGCCTGCTTCAAAAACAAGCCAGTGCACGGTTGTTTATTATTATTATCACTGTTATTTTCCAGAGTGCTGTAAAACTAGGGGATAGAGCACTCTGACAGCCTCATAACAAACTGCAGATAAAACTAATTAGATTTTGTTCTTCCTTCAGTTTGCTGACTTGATTCTTTCTTCTTTTTATTGTTTAATTATTTATTTTTTAGCCCAGAGATTTACACACACACACAACATGTATTTCACTAGACACTGGCAAGGCATCCTTGGGATCGTCTCTGGCAGGAAAGGGCTATTGTGGCTCTGAGACCCAAGAGTTGGCCAGGGGCTGAGACAGAGGGTGCAGTGTAGTGCAGGGCTCAGCACAGCATCTTCCACCCACATCATGTTAACGCTGGGGGAGGAAGGCCAGCACAGCTATTCACAGCCTCCAAGAGAGTCAGTGTGCGACAAAAGGCATCAGTAAAAAAAGTTAATGTGCCTGGCAGGAGCCCAGAACTGCTGCAGCAGTGGGGACCAGGCCAGTGCCTCTAAGACACCATCTCTTCAGGCCATTATGGGAATGTTTGGCGAGAGGCTCAACCTGACAGCCTTGCTGAGTCTTGAGGGAGGACAAAACAGTGGGGAGCAGGGCGACTGCCCTCTCCTCCCTCTCTCTCTCCCTTTCTCCATGTCTGTTTCCAAATTCTTTGGGATTATCTAGCGACAGCAAGAAAAGGCACTGCTCTGAGTGCTCAGCACTTCGCAGGCTGAAGTGAGGTGACGGCCCGGGCGCAGGGGACAACAGCTTCATTCACTGGGGCATACCAAACCAGAATTACAAGTGTGCAAGAATAAACAAGGCTGGAGTTAATCTAAAGTTGTTTTACACTTTGTTTTATTAAAGTCAATGCACTTCCGTTCCTCTGTGCAGAGCCTAGCTCTGCTTAATTACCATGACTCAGGGAGAATTTTAATAGCGCGGAGCAGCGCACATGGAGGCATTCTCCTGACCTCTAGAGGTCTGTGAAAAGAGGAGTATCTGCTCCCTCTGGAGAAGTTCCTGGAGAAAAAGGAGACAGCCCACAAAACTGCTTCTCCTGAAGTTATCCAGGTGCCATTCCCAAGTGGTTGGTCACCCACCTGTCCCCTGCACTTCCTCACCTGTGGGCTGGGGGCTTCTCCTGACCACTGCCTTCTGCAGCACCCTCACCACTTGCTGACAAGCTTTGGGCACAGGCAAGGAATGCTGCCAGGGAGAAAAGCCTGACCAGGTTTTTCACAGCACACGGCAGCATTTATGCAGGTGTGGTTGATGTCCAGGGACACTGCTCCCAGCTCAGCTGCTGCATTTGGATCCCAGACACTGAAAACACCCTCTGCCGTCTCCCCACTTCCTGCAGCTCCTAGCACATCTGAAATGATGGTACTGCTCATACATATTTGGCTCCAAACACACATGGAAGATACATCTTTTATTATATAATGACAACTCTTGCACAGTTTAGTCAGTGCAGAATTTTCCCACTGAACTGAATTCCCCATATCTTAAAAAACTCAGAATGAAACAGCTAGAAAGACAAATATTATAGCTCAAATATTTGCATCTCATTAAAGAAAATGCTGATGTAAGAAGATTTTTTTTTCCTTTGCAATAGGGTTTACCACTGGCAAGCCTTGGTATGTGCCCTTCAGCTACTGTTTGTGGCAGAGTTGGTACAGAAAGCTAAGTGGGGGCAAACATGCACATTTACAGACACAGATATATACAACAGTGCTTTTTACCCTGTGTTCTGGGGATGTGCTGTATGCTGAACACCCCAGAGTATGGCTTTTGTATGCTGCCATGTCAGTACCTTAGCACAGTGTCAGGTTTTTGTCATGCCTACAAACACTGGATTTTTAAGTTCATTATGCACATACATTGTTTCTTTAGTAATAAGCTTTGAAGCAGTATTATACAAACTATTATAATGGGAACACCTGTTTCACCTCTTTTGTGTCCCTTCGTGTGAGCCACCCTTTTATTAAAATTCAGTATTGTGTGCAACAAGCTGCATGCTAAACCAAGCAGAACAGGACATCTGTAAGAGGCACACACCACACCTAATGAATTAGTCTGGGCTAAGAAGCTCAGCTTCTAAGGACCCAAGCTGCCTGTCTTTTGAGCAGCATCCTAAAGAGATAGAGACACAGGGAACTCTTATGTGCTAGGGGAGACTTTAAGGTTTGTGGATACTGAAAACCAAGCAGGACAGGAAGAAGCTTTTTATCTAAAGAGCAGCCTCCTGCTGGAAAATATTGTCTAGGTAGTCTGAGGAAAGGTGCTCAGAAACACATCAGAGTGTTCCATGTTCTGCACTAGAATTCTCTTTAAAACTAGCATAAAACCAGGAAGATGACACAATGCTTTTAATAATGCATCAATATTAATAATAATCATCACTGGTAATCACTGGAGTCCTTGCAGGCTGTAATGCTACAACACATTGCACATTCATCCTTGTCCTTGAGCCTCACAAAGCAGTGACAGAGTTGGGAGCCTCTTGCATCTTAAAATTAGCTCAATTTAGATTCAGGGCAATTCTCCATTTGCAGCAGCAGAGTCTAAGACACATGGCAAGATGAGGCAATGTGAAGTGTGAGATGAAGTGACATGGCTTCATGCTTTAGAGATACAGAACACGTGTGTGGATTCTCTGTCTGTGCTGGATTCTCAGGAAGTGGGAGGCAATTTTAGGAAAAATCTAATTTTTCTCCATTTGGAGATTAAATAAACTGTTCTGATTGATTTTTGGGCTAAATTCACTCCTGGGTTTTGCCACCATCACTAATCTATTGGTGAATTTAGCTCAGTTTCCAGAGGATCACTATGAATTGGCACTGCTGCTTTCCTTACTGTGGCACATTGGATTTCCCATGCTGTTGCTGAGATACAGCCATCTCAGAAATATGTACAGCCTGACCCAACCTGTTGAATGTACTGTAAGAATTCTGATCAGACAGAAATCAGAGACATGCTCTACAGCTCAAGAGAGAATGGCAACAGAGAGCTCTGGTGAAAGGCATCAATAATTGTCACTTCTCCAGGCAAAGGCTGCCTAAAGTCAGAAAAAGAGAAATATCTCTGATTCCTTAGTCTCAAAATACTGTTCCTTAGGTCAATCTGTATGAAACCATATACTAGGGGCAGCCATGAAACTGGGGATTCTGTTTAGGAATGGATGACCTCACACAGGACCACCTGGGCTAGCAGCCCCTTGCTCTGCCTTGGGTACAAAGTGTAAGGAGTCATTCTCAGCACATGTCTGTATACAAATTACACAAACACACAGTCAAGTCTCCATTCAGAACCCAGAGCAACACTGGGAAGGGTGCTGAAGCTGGCAAACAGGCAAACATGAGCAGTGATCCATTTTCTTGCTGCTCTGCAAGACACAGCCTTGCTCACACAGGACTGCTCTCAAACCCACTGTACAGCCCAAGTGCTGCTGAGCCCAGAGGAAGAGCTGTGCTGTTGGGTGATGGCTGGCTGGAAATGTAGAGCCCCCTCAGAGCCCTGGAGCTGCATGTCTGTCCTGTGCTCACTCCTTCATCTTCTGTCTCGCCTTCCACACACGAGAGGCACTCCTGGATCTCTTGGTCTAGCTCCAAGAATTCCTCTTCACCATCACAGCTACTGGCAGTGTCATAATCAATCTCTTCTGCACAAGGAGGTTCATCATCAGACTCCAGGCTGCTGTTACTGCACCTTCTGCAGAAAAACCACAAGAGAGACTGGACGTCACCAAAGGAGGAGGTGTTCTCAGGGGGAAGAGAAAGCAACAGGGAAATGTTTTTTTTTGGTTCAACCTTGGCTCTGTTAATAAGGGATGAGGTGTTACTAAGCAAGCTCTGGTGTGTCTTTGTGTCTGTCTCACCAATGACAGTGATAAAATGAAGACTGATACTCACTGACCTCTCAGGAGTAAAGCATTATTATTCCCATCACTCTTATTCCTATTGGTAATACAGAAACAGAGTGCTTTACATACAGACAATACCATTCTTGCCTTGAGGCACTAACAAAGATTGCAGAAGCTGAAATATAGCAGAGAAGAAGGCATTCAGTTTCCAGAAGGTTGCTGGTTTAATCATCATCCCCCTCGCTGTAATTCCACATTTAGTGTAAGAACTAATTAATCCAGGTGGTTGAAGTGCTTTGGCATCTTTTCCTCCTGTTCTGTGCAAGCTCAGAGCACTGCTAACAAGAGGCAGCACAAACAAAAAAATGGAGCCTCTTGGATCTTCAAGCACACTGGCTGCAGGGAGGGCAGAAGCAGCAGGAGTGGCTGTTTTGTGAAGAACACTGAAAGGCTTTGGTGACTTCCTGCAGAAGAGCCAAACTCAGAGTAAAGCCTGAATGGCTGAGGAAAGACCCTAAAGGGATGTCACAGCTACATCATGTAGCTCTCAGAAAGGCAGGTTACCCCACCTTGGCTTCCTGACATTTACTCAAAGGAATGGCCACAGAGGTTCTCCTTATATGCCCACTTTCAATACATGAGGTTTGCCTGATGCAATATTTATGGCAGAAAAGTGACCACTAGACTAGATGGCTCTGGGGGTCCTTCTCCTCCCAAGCTGCCTGCATCCCATCTGGCTCTCAGCCCATGAGGGCAACTGGGTAATTTTTTGAGACCAGAAAGCAGCCTGTGATTTCAGTGCTGCCTGGGTCACAGTCTGGATGAATCAGGGGAAGAGATACTGCATTTTTCACCTCCAGCTCAATGTTTTCGATCAGACACAGAGCAGGGAAATGTATTGCTTTGGGGGACAGGGAAAGGAATAACAATATTCCACCTCTGGGCCAGAGTTTTTTAATTTGTCCCAAGCTGGGAAGGATGAATGGCTTGGCAGATGGAGCATACACAGATTTAATGTGTGGTCTGCTCACTTACATGTCAGTAACCAGAATAATCTTCCAGGTTTCAGCTGTTACACAGCAGTGCCAGCAAGTGAGGTTTTAGAACATACCAAAGGTGTAAAGTATTGCTTTTGGATGTATCCCCTCCTCTGCATTCCAAGAAAGGTGTAAGATTTTCCTAGGTCTGAGACTCCAGATCTTAACAGCATACAGACTATTCTGCAGCAGAAACAAGAAGTGTCAACCCACATCTCCTTTTCAGGCTGATCTCTGGCTTAGTTTACTTCAAAGGCTGGGTATAAAGGATTTTCTGAAAGCTTAATAGAGCTGTACAGCTTAAAAATAAATAAAAGAATAATTATGCACTTTTACAGTTTCTGGCTCTACTTCAGTCTGCTCAGAAATCTGGGTCAGGAAGAACTCATAGTGAAAATGAGGATGTGACATGAAACAAAACAAACAAACCAGGACAATCCTCCCAGCACAAACGGCAACAGAAATGGTCCCAGCCGAGTCTGACCAGTGGGTTTGATTTTTCTTTTATTTTTCATATGCTGGTATGGCATGAATTACCATGATACTGAGTACCTATGATAATGTTCAAAGCTGAGTAAACCCAGGGGAACCAGAATTTTCATTTATAAGCCCTGCTCTTGTAGATTTGCAGTCAAAAAGAACCAAAGCATAACTACTTTCAATATTGCACTTGTACATTTTTAAGGAGCTGCTAATGCCATTGGGACAGAACATAGCTGTTGCCCAACTCACTGATATTTTTCAGATGGAACAGCTTGCAGCCTAGGAACTGAAGGTCAAACATTTGCATTAACATGATAATTGGGGGGAAAAAGGTTAAGTCTGAGAAGTCAAATAACAGGATCTTCTGAATTTTTCAATAATTTAAATGATTTTAGGACTGTATTTCTGACAAAAAAGGAAAAATGCCTCCTACGACAAAAACATTTTGCTAATGAAGTCTGGAAGACAACAAACAGAGAATGAAAGACAAAAAATACAAAACTGCCATTTCTTTATATTGAAGACTGAAGGGATATTCTTTAGGAAGCAAGCATTTATTCATAAAACATTTGTAATGGGCTTCCAAAGCTCCCCTTTGTTGCCTGCCTGCACAGCACACAAAACACCAAGACCATGAGAACTCAATTTAGGGGGGGCAGCTGTGCTGCAGAAAGAGGTTCCCCATGAGTGAGGATGTGCTTAGACCTGATTGGAGGTCAGGAAAGAAGATTTTCTTCCTCATTAGCTGTGGCCTTTGCTCCTTTGCTGTGGCAGTGATGAGCAAGGCAGTTAGCACTGATCTTAGTAGTGGCTTCTCCAGCCTGAGCTGACAGCCCTGGATCAGAGCTACCAAACAGCAAAGGAATGGCACCAACCTCCTCCTGCTGCCAGCACGGGCTGCTGACTGTCACACTGCTGACTTCAAAGTTGAGAACATCTTTATCACACTGACAAACTCTAGCAACAGTTACATCTCTGCACTACATGGAACTTTACATCCCAATAATTCACTTTCTGCTGCAGGACGATTTAAAACACATTAAAAAGCAACACAAGTGGGCTGGTTCCAAGCAGCAGGTTCTTCTGAAAGAGGAGAGGTGGCAGCATGTGGCACGTGGAGGAGCCAGCCAGTTCCAATAAACCAAGTGCCAGTTCTTGCATGTTCTTCACAGAGACCTTCCCCTTCCATGCAAATGGTGAAACAGGGTAAGGAACAGGATTGCCAATATCTATTGACTATTGTGTTCTTTCCCAACAGTTTTGTGGGTTTGTGTGTTTATTTTTAATCTGATCTTTAAAAGCTGGAAAAGAATACACCTGACAAAAAATGAAACAAAAACCAAAAGCAAAACAACAACAAAAAACCTACCCAGGAGACATGAAACATATTTATCAAAGAATAATGATGTTGTCTTACAGAAGGTAAACAAAGAAGAAAACCAGTGACACTACATTATAGAAATCCAAGACAAATATAGACTGAACATGAACATAGTACAGAAGAGAGGGGAGAAGGCTGGAAATATATTCTACAGCCAGCAGTCTCCCAGCTTTCACAATAAGACATGAACACATTTGGTTGATCTTCATTCAAAACCTGTGGCGTCATAGCCCCCATCTATTCCAGATGATGGGAACCACAGCAGCAATTTGCAACTTCATGATGTAATAAATAGAATGTTTTGTTTTGATTTTTAATTTGCATATTTACTCAGATATGACTTAATTAGTTCTCCTTTCCTATGTGTGTGTGGTTTTTTTGTTTGCGCAGTTTTGGAAAGAAGCAAGATTTGGTTCCCTGTAAAATAATTCTGGGTTTTTTTCTGGTTTAATGGGAGAAGGAGAAGGGAGCCCAGTGCCTCCTCACATGTCAGCGTAACTGGAACTTTGTGGTATGACTGGAAAACACTTCTTTCAGGTGCCTTCTGTCAAACCCTCATTCTGAGTCAGCCTGCTAGGTCACAGCTGGAGAGAAAGCTCTCATGTCAGCTGTCCTGCTGAGCCACACCTCAGAACACACACTCTGAAACTGTGGTGATAAACTATAGCTACACACTGCACATGGGGATGAGCAGCATCTCTCTTCCATACTTAATTTTCATCTACTTGTACATGCACTTCCAGGGAATGGAGAAAACTAGAGAACTCCTAAGTAATTTCCAGAGATTTTTCACTCACATTTTGCTTGTGTGGCAGGTCTCTCATTCTCTGTGTATTCTGCTGGCTGAAAATAGAAGATTTCATGTTTTCTGCAGGAAAGAACGGGCACTGACAACTGTCCCTCTCAGGGAATCTGTGACTGCTGCTCAGGGTTTCTGCTTGACCTTCACTTGACAGCCCTCACAGTTGCAATGAATTACAGAAGGAAGTGGAGCATTTACTTTTCTTTCATATTGCTCCTCTCACTGTTGAATTTTGTTGCAGCCTTGTCAGAGAGAAGCTGAAGTGGGAGGGTTTAAATGAATCACATAAAAAGGAGGAAAAAGCTGAGGCTGGAGACCACTGCTGGTCATGGACATACCAATGTTTCTCTTTGAAGGATGTATCAACAAACAAGCAAACACATCCTCAGCCTCTCTCTGCAGTGAAAAATAACCTCCCAGCATAATCACCCTGCCTGTAACCCTATTGTCTCCTTGTGTTAAACCTTTTCTCCATCATGGCATGTCCCAGTTCTTTGGAAGCTGCCCAAAGCTGGGATGTGGCTGTGTATAATGAGCCAAGCACATCTCTGATACAGTTCATAGACTAAATAAGGCAGGAAATAGCTTTACTGAATTTTTTCAAGAGATGAGACATTCTTGTGTGTGAATAGAAAGCAGAAAAAAAGATCTTTATGTGATTTAATGTGCCAAGTTCTCCACAGTTACAGCATTGACCTGAAGGGTGTGTTTTTTCCCCACACTGGCAGGGAGTGGAGACCCCAGAAAGTTCCCTGACCACAATTATCACCTATGCAGAAGGGGAATCACCCATTCTTTTCCAAAGTTTTACCTATTGTATGAACAATTACCAGTGCTGGTAAATAAAGTGTCCTGAAGCTTTAAAGATATGCTGCCCTCTCCATGGTGAATTGGAATTGCCTTGCCCTTTTGGCTTTCTGACATTAAAATTCCATCTGCACCACCAAATCTAAAAGGGATGTGTGGTCTTGCAGTTTTGCTTTTGAGGAAACCATATGTTTTATTAAAAGCAGGAACACTGCTTCTGAAGGCTTGTAATGAATCTAAAATGAACCTTAAGCAGACACATTTGCAGTAATCCCAGAGTACAATTCTGCCTTTAATTGCTTCAATAAAGTAGTATTTTAGGACATAAATGAAACAACT